CCCCCCCCTCGCCCTGCGACCTCCGGGCTTCTTTGAGCCACAGGGTACAGGTCAGCCCCCACCAGGTCACACAAGTCTTCAATGCACTATTTGCTCTGCTTTAAAACTACATCTTGTTGAACTTTTCAGACAGTCCCCAAGACTGCACTGATAAGCTAAGTGTGCAACTGCAAGTTGGATACTTGCAAGTGGGCAACTCCCCAGTCGCACTCTTGCTAGTGCTCAACTTGAAAGTTGTGCACTTGCACTTGCAAGTGTGCAACTCCTCGGTCGAACACTTCCTTGGAATGAACGCACACTGTGTAGGAAGTGCTCATCCGAGAAGTTGCACACATGCAAGTGCACACCTAACGAGTTGCACACTTGCAAGTACGTATTCAACTTGTAGCTGCACACTTGCAAGTATTTAATTTGCGGTTTAACACTTACAAGTGTTGAGCAGTTGTACACTTTAGTTTATCAGTGTTTCTGTAGCAGAAGGAGAAAACGTGCCCCCCCCCCCCTTCGCTTCTCCTTAGAACAGTGCCAAATCCATGCCAAAGTCGTGCAGCAGTGGTTGGCGACCTATTTCAAGCCATTTCAAGCCATTTCACAACATTTTGTATACCTATGTCAGACTCTGTACAGTAGTTGTTCTTTGCCAGACTGCCGAGGGAGGAGGGCTCATGGCGCCAGCCGGACACGTTGTGTCAGGCTGGTCAGGCTGCATTGCCGCGCGGGCTCGCCGCCGGGCTCGCATGTATGTTTCAGTAGTCGCTGGGGCCGAGGATGGAGAGCTCTCCTAGACCTCTCCCTCCATCCCTTGCTCCATCAGCTACCTGCAGCAGCCAGACACTACTGAAATCCGTTTTGCGCTCTTTACTCATTTTTTGCGACAACTGCGTTGTTTTATTGTAATTCTCATATGAGCATATGCTACAGGGCATGATGACATACTTTTTTGCAATAAAATGTAAAGGGGCAAAACCAAAGGAAAAACATTGTGATAACCTTTTATCACAAAAAATTTAAAAAGTTACCCCATTTTTATCGAGTCAGTAAAGTGTACGGTATGCCGAGGACAGCGGCAATGTATTATATGGCTCTGCGATACTTTCTGTTTAGTAGAATCATCCCCATCCCCCAACTTTTGCAGCCCTTAATGGTCCCGTTTGCTGAGGGTGAAGGTGAGGGGGAGCTTCATAGTGTATCCTGTCAAAAGAAATAAATAAACGGCAGGGAAATTAATGGAAAATGAGTCTCGCCTCCCATCATCGCCGTCTAAAGACCGGCGGCGACCGGCGCAAGTTTCAACGAAAACAGCGCGATTATTAAAAGTGACGGAATCTCTTGTGAAATTATTTATAAATTGTCAGCCGGGAGCCGAGGCCTCGAGGGGAGAGGAGCGGCGCAAAGGGAAGTCGCTTGTTTATTGTGTATACTCGCTTTATGAAGCGGCCGAGCGGGGCACTCCCTGAGCACCGTGCGCACACACAAGAAATACCAGGTGGCTGATTTGCGAGGGCACTTTTAGTTATACTGTGTACCACATTCACGCGTGCGGGTGGGTTGCCTACTCGCAAGAGGCCATAAGGAGATGTGGGCAGTCAGCATAGGCAAACCCACCCGCACCCGTGCCCCGTGCATGCGGTACAGTATCACTACTAAAGTGCGCGGCGTGATTCAGCCTCCTGGTACTATCGAAACTGGTACACCCACTCAACCACCCTGGCATTGTGTTGTGCATAGAGATGTAGTGTTATGCAGCTAGAAGTATGCACGATTTATGTATAGTTATTTACGACACGACTTGTACACAACGAAATTATTGTACTGTACATAGTTACTCATGGAACTCTGAATGGCTGTTTAAGACTCTAAACTGAAAGTAAAATGCACAAACATAGTATGTACTCCTAAAGAAGGCCAAAGAGTGGAGAAACATCTCAGAGAGCAACTCGGTGCAACTGATATCGATACGAAAGTGATGAAGCGGGCACGTGGTGGTGATGTCTCAAGTGTCTTTCAGCCCTGTGAGGAAAGAGGGCCGCGAAACAGCAAAGAAGCAGCAAGTTCGAGAGTGCCACCGCCTCCACTCATTGCATCTTCCCAATGGCATTGGGGGCGAACACACCGTGCGCCCGTCATAGCGCTTCTAGTTTACCGTCTACCAAAAGTTCGCGACTCTTCACCCCCCGCCTCCTATCGCCTTTGCCTTGAGGGTTCCTCGTCGACAGATAGGACCCCCCCCCCCCGACTTCACCCTAAGGGGAAGGGGACTCCAATGGCCCGGAACAAACGCATCTCGTGCCCCCCCCCCCAACCCTCTCCCAGGCTGCCCCTAGGCCCTCTGGAACGCAAACGGATTGCGAAACTCTTGCGTCTGAAAATGAATACGTACGTACACAGCCCGGTCCCGGTCAACGGCGGTCCACCCAGCCCAGAAAAACGTGTAGTAATCAAAAAACATTCTAATCGTTATTACTCTGGCGAAAATCAGCGTCGTTCTTATGTCATTTCGTGTCTCTGACCCCACAATTTACAATGTTTCAATAGTTTTGTTAATATAATTGACGGATTTAAACCGATGTTAAAAGTTTTTTTTTTTTAATGTACATAGACTTACCTCGGAGTGCTGAGCCACCAGCCCGACGAGCACCTCCCGTCCCCGTCCAGTGCACCAGCACTACCCTTCTGACGTGCCGGCCACCAGCCCGACGAGCACCAGCAGCAGCGCGGCGCGGCACACCTGCGACATACACAGCAACAAATTAATACCGAACAAAGACGACGAATTATCTTCAAGAAATTACACAGAGTATACAAAATACGATACGTAAGAAACGATTGTCTTTATGACGGAAGCGCTGCTGCCACACAACAAGTCAAAAAGCGCCAAACTAACCTTTCTTAGAAGAATAGAAAAATAATGCAGCCGTATAATTTACCAAAATTTCAATCAGTAATTGTTGTTGTTGAATTAATTTGTTTCACAACCATACTCGTACGTTTGCTTATCGCACCCCCCTCCCCGCTCCCCTCTCCCCAACTCGATACTCAAATCGAATGGATTCCGAGTACGAACGTTTTGAAATGCTGCACTCCGAATTGCAGTGAAACAGCGCGTGGGTTCCCAGCGTGCGCGCTGAGATTGGGTCAGCAGATTGGCGGTATCGTGATTTGGCTCACAACGAGCCCGCTGTACAAAAGAGCCTGTGCGAGTGACGTCGCACGGTGGCGGCTTCTACTCTCGAAATACGTAGTACACACCTTGTGTAACTCGCCCTTAGTATGGTGTACATGCATGGAAAACAAAGGCGGAACGCTGTCGAGTAGCGACGGTGGTGCCCCATCAAAAGGGTTGTCATCTCTCTCTCTCTCCCTGTCTCTGTCTCTGTTGGAGAGCGATGACCAAACGGCTTGTCTTACAACAGTATGATCACAGCCTCTCCGTTATTCTAACCGTAGAATATGATTTCAATTAAAAAGGAAATATCTATAACTTTTTATGCTTTAATAGAATTCTCCTTTTAAATGACCCGATGGAAGTCTTTCCATTGAACGCCCAACGTATTGGGTCATTTACAAGGAGAATTTCCATTAAAGCATAACAAATTATGGTTAACCATAAGTTAAAATTTTTTAACTTTTTAACTGAAATCACATTCTACGGAAGTAAAGGTGAGATGCTGTGATCACACCGTACCAGGTACGGGCCAAGAACGGTTTTCAATTGGTCAATAATTGACGGTCCAAGACCGTTGTTAGACCGTAGGTTTTTCTCACATTGTGCAGATCCAAGGATGGGCCACCCGCTTAACTCAGACGTTCTCGACTTAAGACGTTGCCTATCCATCCAGGCGTTTGCCCCCGTCGACGAAACACGAGGCACCGAGATCAACCACCACGCATCTTTCTTATATGTCTTGTTTCTCTTCCATAATTTTCGTTTCGAAACTCTGATCCTCTCATCAGGTTCTTAATCATCAACTTTGCATAACCTCAACCTTCAATACAACTCATCCTCCATTTTCACTCTAACGTAAGTGCCGTGGTCGCTTTGCTTGGCAAAATTTGTCATACCTTTTGAGCGCCGATTTCTAGCCTCATTTCGGTCTAACATTGGGTCTCTTTAACTGCCAAATTTTGCAAAAAAAATATTTCCAAAAAAGGCAAGTTCTAAAAGAATTTAAAAAATTGGTAGTGGAAAAGAAGTGCTAAAATTTTAGTTATCCAAGCACTAGCCACGAATTTGAGAGTAGTGATTGCTATTGTAATTCAAAATCAACCTATCCTTACACTATCTTCCGTCCCACAGATCCCTCATCCTCGACACCGCAAAAATTTTGGAAAATACAAAAAAAAAAAGCTAAATACCATATCCCTTTTTTTTGCAGAGCACCGTGGCGTATGTAAGGTGAAAACGGTGTCGGCCGCGACCTGCGGGGACATTACCATGCAACACGCAGGGTGGTAAGCGCGGCAGTCCGGGGAGGGGGGAGGGGGATGATGGGCTCCTGGTGGAGCTGGTGGTGGGGGAGGGCTGAGGTTGTCAAGTCTTTCGCTCCAGTGGGGGGAGGGCATGGCAATGCGCCCAACAGCTGGGCTCCCCCCCCCCCTCCTTAACCCGCAAGGTATCGCCCTGCAGAAGGGCCCGCCGCGCCGCTTCCATACCCTCTCCCATCGCCCATCTCTCTCTGCCCCCCCCCCCCCTCTCCCTTGCCCCCTTTCAGCCGTGCCGACCCGTGCCGCCCCCCGCCGCGGGCTACGACCCTTGTGTTCAAGGTCGTCGGGATTGATTTGGCCTTTGCTTTTCGTCCAGGTAGATGGGCGCCTCTATGTCTCTTTCTCTGGCGTGTGTGTGTGTGTGTGTGTGTGTGTGTGTGTGTGTGTGTGTGTGTGGTGGGAGGGGGAGGGGGGGGATTTCCGTACTAGAACATTTTTCAAATCAGAATTAAAACTCTTGAAATGCGTTGAAACGTCTCCCTAATACAAATATTTACGTAGGTCTTCATCGCTCTGTTGAGACCATGTCTGCCAAAGCGACTCAAAATCAGAAATTCGTAACCGAAAAATGCCGCAAAAACGACTCTAAACGAGCTATGTTCGCTTCGTCCAGGAGTCTCCCCCCCCCCTTCCCTTCTAGCTCGATGCTCCTAGGTGCCCCATGCCCCATCTGACGCGAAAGCATAACCAAGGTTTGGGCCCCCAGCCGTTCCACGCCTCGAGCCCGGCCATCGATCGGACTGTAGTGTGAGGATGGAGTCTGTCTCTCTCTTTCTTTCTCTCTCTCTCTCGCTCTCTCTTGCTCTCTCCCTCCCTCCCTTTCGCGTCCCGACCTTTCGCCAAGCCATGGGGAAATGACCCCCTTATAACCTCCGCTCCGTACTCCGCAGCTTATAGTTAGCCGCTCCGGCATCATGTTTTTCTTTTTTTTACTTTCCTTTACCAGTTCAGTGGCGAGGGGGAAGTCACTTGCGAAATAGCTCGTGTACCTTCCCACGAAATAGTTTTAAAAAAATGCAAAATAGAGCGAAATAAACCCGAAATAGACGCGAAACAGTCGGTGAAATAGTCGCGAAATACCCCTGAAGCACAGCAACATACCGCGGAATTCCTCGAAATAGTCCGAAATAACTGAAATATCAGCAAAATTACCACGAAATAGTCCGTACGCTACACACCCAAATGATTTCCCCCTCGTTCAGTGATAAGTGGCAAAAACTGCGAACTCCAATAATTGATTCTTAGCGCTTTTTAAAAAATTGTTTTAGGTAGAGAGGTGTTTTGCTTTTAAAAAGCCATTGGAAAGAAAGTTGTGCACATTGGATAGTAAACAAATGCTTGATGCAGTACTTAAAAAATTATCATTGTTTAAAATACTGTCTACACTACCGCCGTTTGTTAGGAGATAACTTTTTGCTAACCACATGAGCACATGAGCATATGAATTTGTGCTTTGTGTGGATGAGTGAATGAGTGCACATTATTAAAAGGTCCGAGGTGCCATCATGGCATAACCAATCACTCGTGCAGACAGACCGACAGACAGACACAGACAGATAGACACAGACAGACACAGACAGACAGACAGACAGACAGACAGACAGACAGACAGACAGTTCGTAGACTGGATACAGAGACAGAGTTGTGGCTGGTCTATGGCCTTCAGCCCCCTTCGCCCCGAAAAAAAGACCCTTCCCCCAGCCTCCTCTTCCTTTCCCCACCGACCCCCAACTCCCCGCCGCGACCAACCCCCACCCCTC